GACAAATTTTCCATCTATTAACTCAAAATATGATTACAACTTTTAAATTTTGTGCGCGAGCCATTTTTAGTTTGTTGGAAAAGACACACCCCCCTGGTTCACAATATTTGAGTTCAAGAATTTTTTTTCATTATTCTACATTATAAGTACCCAAAGAAGCTATATCTATAAAAAACCGGATACAAATAGTTGTTTTGCGAAATTGAGAGCAATTTCAAATCTGTTCAGTTTTTTTTTATACACCCTGTATAGGAGAATGTTTGTACTGTTAATAATAGTCATACAATGCATTTGGTTCTAGTTGCTCCAGAACCATATGATTCTGAATATTTGAGGCAGGAAAACAAAATTTAATGTTTACGGTCGGGGTTGGTATGCACGCGTGCACTTACCGGTGAGTGTTTCGCCTTCTTTCAACTCTTTAGCAAAACCAAAATCTGATAACTTGCATGATCGCCATTTTGTCGTTGAGAAGAATATTTTCAGGCTGAGAATTTTATATGCATATTATCTTCATATATTTATATTTATATATATATACTGTATATATACTGTAGAGCTCACTGGAACAAACAGCAACGGGGCCGGATCAAGAACATTTTAAATTGTATGGGTAAGTAACTACATTGTATGGGTAACTATATTGTATGGGTAACTATATTGTATGGGTAACTACATTGTATGGGTAACTATATTGTATGGGTAACTATATTGTATGGGTAACTACATTGTATGGGTAACTATATTGTATGTGTAACTACATTGTATGGGTAACTATATTGTATGTGTAACTACATTGTATGGGTAACTACATTGTATGGGTAACTATATTGTATGTGTAACTACATTGTATGGGTAACTATATTGTATGGGTAACTATATTGTATGTGTAACTACATTATATGTGTAACTACATTGTATGTGTAACTACATTGTATGTGTAACTACATTGTATGGGTAACTATATTGTATGGGTAACTATATTGTATGGGTAACTACATTGTATGTGTAACTATATTGTATGTGTAACTATATTGTATGTGTAACTACATTGTATAGGTAACTATATTGTATGGGTAACTATATTGTATGGGTAACTACATTGTATGGGTAACTATATTGTATGGGTAACTATATTGTATGGGTAACTACATTGTATGGGTAACTACATTGTATGTGTAACTATATTGTATGTGTAACTATATTGTATGTGTAACTATATTGTATGTGTAACTATATTGTATAGGTAACTATATTGTATGGGTAACTATATTGTATGGGTAACTACATTGTATGGGTAACTATATTGTATGGGTAACTATATTGTATGGGTAACTATATTGTATGGGTAACTATATTGTATGGGTAACTATATTGTATGGGTAA